TCACCCACCCACTCCTGGAACAACCCCCTAATCTATGTCTGAGTTATTGAAGTTCTCAAATCGTGGTTTAAAGACCTCAAGGTGCAGAGAATCCTCCAGCAAGTGACCCATGCCCCATGCTACAGAGGAAGGTGAAAAACCTCCAGGGCCTCTGCCAATCTTCCCTGGAGGAAAATTCCTTCCCGACCCCAAATATGGCGATCAGTTAAACCCTGAGCATGTGGGCAAGACTCACCAGCCAGCACCCAGGAAAGAATTCTCTGTAGTAACTCAGATCCCACCCCATCTAACATCCCATCACAGACCATTGGGCATATTTACCTGCCCATCGGTGACTACCAGTAGCAAAAATTCCCAATGGCCAGAGACGGGACACTAGATGGGGAGGGCTCTGAGTTACTACAGAGAATTTTCCTACGTATCTGCCTTGTGGGTCTTGCCCACGTGCTCAGGGTCTAACTGATCGCCATATCTGGGGTCAGGAAGGAATTTTCCTCTGGGTCAGATTGGCAGAGACCCTGTGGGGAGGAGAGGTTCGCCTTCCTCTGCAGCATGAGGCATGGGTCACTTGCAGGTTTAAACTAATGTAAAATTGTGAATTCTCTAACTTGAAGTCTAAGTCATGATTTGAGGACTTCCGTAACTCAGCCAGAGGTTAGGGGTCTATTACAGGAGTGGGTGGGTGAGATTCTCTGGCCTGCAATGTGCAGGAAGTCAGACTAGATGATTACGATGGCCCCTTCTGACCTTAAAGTCTATGAGAATATAACAAATTGATAAAACACAGTAAATTCCATGTAATCTATCAATCATTTTCAATGAAAAATGAATCATTAAACAACAAATGTATACCACAAACAGGGAAAAAAAAGTTTTTTTTAAAACAAACTACAAAAATAATTGCAAAGTTGTCTGTTAGATTATGCTTGCTATTTTCTAATGAATGACTGTCTGCCACATATCCAGCAGAGGGCACTAAAGGAACACTCATATGCAACAAAAAATTCCTCACTGCATTCCAAAAATAATAAAATAGAAATAGGTTTAAAGTCTCTCTTATTTACATTTTAACCCCACTATATAAAAGCAGTTTTAAAAGTTACTGCCATAATCAGGCCTTTTCCCCTCAAATATACAACTTGCCAAATGCTCATTAAAGTGAGATACTTTTCTTTATTTCTATCATTTCCTTCAACAACATTGCAAATTACAAAGAGAGCTGTAAGTAAATAATTGCTCTCGCTTTTATGAACAACCTATTCCCGCTTGTTTAATTCATTCAGAGATACCATAATTCACTTACGGGAAAAAAAAAATCACAGTAACTTCTATGGAATGAAGAATCACTGAATACAGATGAAGAAGCAACAGACTAGTTAAAGTAATATGTGGAAACAAAGAATGATTTCCCCTTTTTCTGGCTCTATTGCTTCCACTTAGGTTTCAATCCAGATATGAGCTATGCACCAGCAGATCTCTGCTTGCAGCACTGAAGTCAATGGGGGCTCCACAAGGGTACAGTGATAAGCTCATGTGGATAGAGCAGACCTAAGATCCACAGTTTATGTACCAAAGTAACTATTTTGGTTAGATGAGTGATTTTTTTTAAACCAAAATACTTTAACTAGTGCAGCTCCCAGTGTGGATGCAGTTTACCAGTATAAAGGTGCCTATACTGGTATAGCTTATTCCCATACATTTAGCGTTTTCAAACTGACATAGTTAAAGCAGTACAGAAGCTGTGTGTAGACAAGCTCTTAGGGCTAGATCCAAAATGGGAACTTCAACTCAGCATTCCAACACCTAACATCCAGGTACCTTGCTGCCTAGTGGTATCCACAGCCCTGAGTTAGGCACCCAGGCTCTCTATACAATGCATGGGGAAAGTTAGGATCCTAAGAATGGGATTCACAGAAGCCAGCAAGCTGAGCGGGGGAGATGCCCAAGTTAACAGGCGAGATAGGCAGACTAACACCTAGTTTGAGGATCCCTCTAGGGCTTAGGCGAGAGCTGGGCATCTAGGCATCAGAACTTAGATGGTAGTGTACAAGCCAAGAGGCAGGAATTTAGGTGCCTACAGGGTTAGATGGGGGTTTTGAGGCAGGAGCGGCGGAAGCTTCCTACAAGTGTGTGTGGGGGCCACTGGTGCCCAAACTGAGGTCCCATCCACCTGCACCGTCCCTTTCCTGAGGCCCCACCCTCGCACCATCCCCTCCTCTTAACACCCGGCCCCGCACTTGCTCTTCTCCACCCACTCTCCCCCAACCCCTCGTTCGCCCTTATGGCCAGTAAAAAGTGGGAGGGCATTTCCAGTGCAGTGAGGGATGCTGATGCTGCTTTGATAGTGGCCTTGGTCCAGCCTTAGATTAGAATTAAGGCTGTCAATTAATTGCAGTTAACTCAAGCGATTAATTCAAAACAAATTAACTCGATTAAAAAAAATCAATCGCAATTTTAATTGCACTGTTAAACAATAAAATACTAATTTAATTTTATTATAAATATTTGTGGATGTTTTTCTACATTTTCAATTATATTGATTTCAATTATAACACAGAATACAAAGTGTACAATGCGCCATTATTTTCTATTACAAATATTTGCACTCTAAAAAGGAAACAGTATTTTTCAATTCACCTCATACAAGTACTATAGTGCAATCTCTTTATCGTGAAAGTGCAGTTTACAAATGTAGATTTTTTATTACATAACTGCACTCAAAAACAAAACAATGTAAAACTTTAGAGCCTACAAGTCCATTCAGTCCTACTTCTTGTTCAGCCAGTCGCTAAGACGAACAAGATTGTTTACTTTTACGGGAGATACTGCTGCCAGCTTCTTATTTACGTCACCTGAAAGTGAAAACAGGTATTCACATGGCACTTTTGTAGTCGGTGTTGCAAGGTACTTACGTGCCAGATATGCTAAACATTCGTATACCCTTTCATGCTTCAGCCACTATTCCAGAAGACATGCTTCCATGCTGATGATGCTTGTTAAATAAATAATGCATTAATTAAATTTGTAACTGAGCTCCTTGGAGGAGAATTGTATATCTCCTGCTCCGTGGTTTTATCTGCATTCTGCCATATTTATTATGTTATGGCAGTCTCGGATGATGACCCAACATATGTTGTTCGATTTAAGAACACTTTCATTGCAGATCTGACAAAATGCAAAGAAAGTACTAGTATGAGATTTCTAAAGATAGCTTCAGCACTTGACCCAAGGTTAAAGAATCTGAAGTGCCCTTAAAAATCTGAGATGGATGTGGTGTGGAACATTCTGTCAGAAGAAATAGGACTGAGTGGACTTGTAGGCTTTAAAGTTTTACATTGTTTGATTTTTGAGTGCAGTTATGTAATAAAAAAAATCTACATTTGTAAGTTGCACTTTCACGATAAAGAGATTGCACTACAGTACTTGTATGAGGTGAATTGAAAAATACTATTTCCTTTTTACAGTGAAAATATTTGTAATAGAAAATAATATAAAGGAGAATTGTACACTTTGTATTCTGTGTTATAATTGAAATCAATATAATTGAAAATGTAGAAAACATCCAAATATATTTAAATAAATGGTATTCTATTATTGTTTAACAGTGCAATTAATAACTTGTTTTAATCTCATGATTAATTGCTATTAATTTTTTTAATTGTTTGACAGCCCTAATTAGAACAACAACTGAATATGAACATTTTTGGTATGCTGCCAAAAGTTTGCTGACAACACTGGTGACAGAAGGGAGGTAGCAATTTTCAAAAGCTTTTATCACAGCCAAACTGGAATGGAATTTCATGGGACAAAGAAAAGGCACTTCTCCTTTATGAATTTCAAATACTTGCTGCAAACAATGATGCTGTTACAGTGTCTCTAGAAGAGGTCACAAGAAACTTTTATAACAGAAACAACCAAAATATCAGTATCACTACCCAGCTCTTGCTATACTTTTATTATATTACATATAATAGCCTATGTTGATCTTCTAAGTTGTAATGTAAATTTACCTCTGATTTCTTTCTTCACGGGTCTCCGCTTCACTTCTGGCTATAAAGCAGGATCCCTTTCATTTTGCTAATGGTGGATAAGACAACGCCACTCCATATAAGAGGGCAGGAAGTCGGGCAGGCATGATAAAGCAAGTGTTCTAGCCTGAATGCTGGAACACTGATATCTGATAAGGCTGGAGTAGGGGTGCTATTTTTGTTAGTTTGTACATAGGAAGAGACTGATGGGCTTGTAGACCTTTTAGTTAATTGCTTGGTGAAGGAGATACAGGATTGAGGCACTTGCTGGCTTGAATGGGGGAAGAGGAAGAGAAACACTACTGCCTTTGTCCAAGTCAGAGTCCTACAGAACCACTGATGCTGCTCCTCTACCATCCAAGCCAGCAAAAGCCCTGAAGCCTTCACCTCCATGGAACCATCTGCCACAGTTGGCACTTCGCTTCCCCTTACTGAGTTCCCTAACCAGTGGTCTGTCACACTCCCTGGAAACTCTTACCACCCCTCCCACTCAACACATTATAGAAATTGTTCAACAGCCCACAATTTCTGTGATTATAATGGTGATAAGGTTCAGCAAGATATTGTGTGAGTTAGAGCCATCAGTGGGTGATAACATTTGCATGCTTTTCTTAAAATAACTAAATACCACCAAAATAGATGATTATTTATTATTCGGTGCTCTGAGCTCATTCCTTACACTTCCCCTTCGAGCCCTTTTCCATCCAGTGTTCCAGTCCCACAGCAGACAGGACTCTACACAACAAGTTAGTTGTGTTGGTTTACTCGGCTTTTCAGTAAGTTACAAAACTGGTAGGTCATGTTCCACCTTAAATGAAAGTCAAGCATGAACAATTCACAAGTTATTCAAAATGATATAACATTAACTCGAGAAATTGCCCCTGTATAGAATTCCAGGATTAATGTAATCTCATTAAATGGAGCACACACAGACACAAAACCACTGAATCTGAACAGATGAAAAGTACTTACCTCAAGATCTTTTTTAAGTCTCTCCTCTCGTTCAGTACTGTATTCAAGTTCACTGGCCTGTCGCCGGAGAATGTCAGTGCAGTCATTATGTTCCAATTCCAGATCTTGTATTTTCTTATGCATATTTTGCAGTGCATTGTTCCGCTCCTGAAAACAATGTGCATTTTACTACAATACTTTATTTCAATAAGCACAGTCAACAAAGAGAAGTACCATAGGAGGTAAAGACTGATGGATACATTCGCTTCCAGGTTCTGGCAGCGGGAGTCTCTATATAGGCCCCCAATGGCAAGAAGTCCACCTGAAGCAGAGGATAAAGATACCAGTGATGCAAGCTGCCACAACACCCCAATCAACCTGGGGATCTGGAAATGGTCACTACTGTCCAAAAAGTGGTGCTAGTTAGAGAAAGGCATGGACAGGGCACCTGAAATATGGGCTAATTCAGCATGCCACCAAGGTAGACTCCAATGGAGGGGCTCCTATAGAATACCAGCTATAAGTTAAAGTGTGGTTCGATTCTGAAAAGTTACTGTAAAAGGTTCCACATTTGTCTTTCACCGGCTGAAGCTCAAATTTGCTCAGTTTACAAGTAAAAGGCGGGACAGACTGACAATATCCTGGACAAACCGTATGGAAGTAAGATAAATTTTACTGAATTAAGTTGAATAACTTTGGTTTGCGTTGCATTAAAAAAAAAGGCAATGTATTATTGTAGATTGTTTGTAACTTTTCTAGGGATGTGACTAATGTAAATGTTAGGAATTTCAAATAACTGTTTCACAATATATGTGAAGTGGGTTTCCTAGAAGGTAGTCGGGAGAAGCTAAACCCTGGGGAGAGACCCATTGTCTACTATTACCTACTACTGGAAATTCCAGATCAAAGACCCCTGGATTGTATAAACGATGGATTAAACTTTGTGCTTGTTCTGAGCTGAAGCTCTGATGAATTTAGAATCACAAGAAAACCCTTTGGGGTGAGGATTGCTCCTGCCAGAGCCCATATTAGGGTTGGGGTGATCTCTGGTATGCTTATTAGCATGCACATAGATTCTCTTACTGTTTTTAGTAGGTTTTCTCTGTAGTGCTTTTTACCTTCTGAATAGGCTTGCACAGGAGGTGCTGTGTGGTACCTTACTTAGTTATTAGTCTCTGAAGAGAAAGTAAGCAAGCCTGCTTAGGCAGAGTCTCTTGATGAGACATTACAGTATAGTCAGGAGCCTGTGCAGCCTGGAAGTACCCTGGTCTAAATGGAATGAGACACATCTCCACTCAAGGGGATGGGGGATGACGGCCAGGAGAACCAGAAGCCTAGTGTGGGTGCCCTTGCTGGATCATAGAGGGGGAATATACATGCAGTTGCCCTGAACTGTGACAAAAAGGTTTTTTTTTTTTCTAACTTCAGGCCCTGAAAACTCACTCTGAGATCTGAAAGTCAGACTGGGCTCTTTCCTTCTCACATAGCACCAATGACAAAAGGTTCTGAGGGCAAAATTATTTCCTCATTTATTCCTGTGCACCTCTTCACAGGTTAGTACAAGTAGAACTGATTGAAATCTAGTAAATAATTTGGTTTATGATAAATAAAAAAGAACAGACAGCTTAGTCTCCTGCAGTTGTCTTGCCTCTGTAGGGCTAACAGAGTGAAGAGCAGCAAAAGTTTATTTTGTCACTAAAGTCAAGGAATACAGATGTGTGGGGTAAGAAGGTACCCCTTTTTTTTTTTTTTTTTTTTTTACAAAGTGACTCTTCAAAGTAGACTCACACTTAAAACTCTCCTTCTGCTGTATGTCAGGGAGCGTGCAGTGTAAATACTACTTTGCCTTCTACCATTTTCTCCTGCCCCACAACATGGGTGGGGAGCACAATTCAAGACCCAAGTTTGTACTAAAAAACCTAAAACCAAAACCATTGTGCGATTTTAGATTCTCTGGAGAACAGTTTCAGATCTGCACGTTATTATAAAGGTAAATGACTATTGCATATTACAATCAATTTAGAAAACTGATTATTGCACATTAGATTTGAAAGTGTGCACAGCACGCTGCTTTGTTACTTCAGCTAAAGTAACCTCTGTGTGTGATTATTGCTGTAATTCAACTGTCCTATATAAGGCTTTTTCCTTCATTAATTTCTAAAGGTGTTTTGTACAAACGCATATAGCTCCTCTGTGAGAAGAGGACTGATTAGCTAGTTTGCTTGACAACGATTCAGCTGCAAGTTCAGGATATTTAAAACTGTGCTTAGTATCTGTTAATCGGTGTTGTTTTCGCTACATCCCTGTTTCTCAACGGATATGTCATAAGCTCAAGATGAGTCAAGAAGGGGTCACGGTCAGAATCAATCTTTAGAAAGAAGATAAAATTGACTTTCTGCCTATTAGTGCTGAGCTGCTGCACTAACTCCCCAAGCCTTTACTCCCACCCCTGCCATCAGCTTCTCCACTGATGCAGGGAGTTTGACCTCCACTTCAGCATACAGAACTTCTCTTCAGCCAACAGGGCTCACTCAACACCTACAGAGGTGCCTCCTTTTGGCTCCTCTCTCCTCCCTCAGCCCAGTATCCAGAGTTGCGGCTCCTTTTTAGGCCTCAGGGCCACCTTTTCCTTACACTCAGGTAACTCCCTAGATAGGAGTGTGAGAAACTTGGCTGGCTGGGTGGAAAGAGATGCTGCGAAGTGGAAGCGGGGGGGAAAAGGGAGCCAGAAAAGTATGTATCACAATACAGCATGAGACAAATGTACAAAATAATAATAGCAAAGAGTCCTGTGGCACCTTATAGACTAACAGACGTATAGGAGCATGAGCTTTCGTGGGTGAATACTCACTTCTTCGGATGGATGTCATGCATCCGAAGAAGTGGTTATTCACCCACCAAAGCTCATGCTCCTATACGTCTGTTAGTCTATAAGGTGCCACAGGACTCTTTGCTGCTTTTACAGATCCAGACTAACACGCTACCCCTTTGATACTTAAAATAATAATAATAATAAGTTGAATACTTGTGATACTGTACCACAAAAAACAAGACAAACCAATAAGAATAGGGAAGTAGTATTATTGGTCTTTTCTGCTCCCTCACTCCCCCAGAAAAAAAGCAAAATTTAAGATGGATACTGTGGATATGGGGTCATGAGCTAGTAAAAGCTGAGAATAACTGTACTAAAATAGCTGCATAGTTTGCCGTATTCATTCTCTATACCTATCCATCTGTCTCAAAACAGACTTCAAGTATTTCAAGCAGTAAATGTGCAATCAAGTTAACTTCATCAAGGTTTAACAAACAGTTTGTCCTTTTATAAAAGAGGCTAAATTACAGAAATTTATTCTCTTGCTCAGTTTCTTTATTTCCAACTGTTTCCAAATTGGTCAAGAAACAAGATGACTCTTCCTAAATATTGCTTCAGTGTCCCCCAAAATCTGCTATATATTTGTTCTTCTGATAACCACTTTATCATCATAACAGAGACTGAACAAAGGTTATACCAAACTATGTAAGATTAGGGAGTAAGTTTAAATCAAATGAAAACATACACACATTTCTAAAACTGTATCATGCACACATCTTTGACACACATTCTAAGACAAATCCAATCTCCCAGGTAGAGGGGAATTCTCAAAATGTGTAAAGCTTGCAGAGTTGCTCCTAAGCCAGTCTCCTCTCCCCGCCAGCTTAGGCGGGTATGGTTAGGGGAAGTGAGCAGGGGGTAATGACACAGGTGGAGGGGCTCTTCCCTCTTTAGGGCCCCTAGCTAGCTGTTCTATGCTATTGTACATCTGAATTGAGGCAACCTGAGACTCAGGGAGCTGTAACCAGCTTCCTGATGGTACCTTTTAATCTCCTTTCCACCTGTGCCAAAATAAGCTTGGAGCAAGAGACAGAATTTCACCCATAGCCTGGAGGCAGATTTTTTTTTTTTTAAATGGCCTTTTAAGGCAGCAACAAGTAGATCATACTGAGTAAATATACTGCCTGGGTACAGCTAGAAAAATTGTAAAAGGTCTGTCTACTCTGGGATATTCATTTATATATTTAATAAAGAATAAGATAAGAGTTTATCTGAAATTTGAAATAATTTCCTATGTGAACAGTATGTGGTATGTTTCCAAATCCCAGCTGGTGAGATTGGAAAGGAAAAAAAAAATATTTCTACTGGAAACTGATTCAACTGTTTTTATAAATATTGTCTCCACAGGTTGTAAATAATTCAGGTTTCTGGAGATTTTGAATAGGAATAGTTTTCTGTTTAGAAACTGATTGAACTATTTTACAAAACAGTCTAGGTGAACTATAAATAATTAAAGTTTATAGTACTATAAATTAACCAAGCTGTCATTGTTTAAATTTCCGTGTATGGTGAATGCACTACCAAACTAAACCACCACTGGGATCATTATTAATCTAGCTGCAGACACTCAGCAGTTCTATGGTTTTAGTGTGTTCTATAGCTGTAACTCCACAGATGATAAAAAAAAGACCATCCAAGTAATGAGCCCCCAATATCCCTACCACATACTTAAGCAGGAGCTCCCAAAAGTGCCAGAAAGAATAGCTGTGGTTTGGAGGGCAGCTCTAAGCTTTTCCATAACTAGTATCAGAAGCAAATCATAAATCCAGTGATTTAAATAGAGGAACTTTGGAGACACAATTTGTCAAAATGGTTTTCTGTGCAGAAAACAGCACGACTGCAATAAACACTCCTGTCCATTTACTCCGATTCAACACCAACAGAAGAGACACTTAGTAAAAAAAACAAAAACAAAAATTTACCAGAGAGACATGCATTTGGTGTTCAAATTCTGCTACTACGGCTATGTCATGTACACTTATAGCTAGAAATTACTAATTATCTCCAAAGTGGGGAGGGGGAGAGAGAGAGAACTATTCACACAAGCGTTTATCAGAAAGTGAAGTCTGACAAGACCTTACCCATGTGCAATGCTTAAGGAAACACAAGCCCTTTGTTAAAGCTTTAAATGGATTTCCTGAAACCAGTTCCAACTGAGTGTTTTAGAAACCTCTGTAAAAAAAAAATTGAACCACAAGAATGTAACAGAACTAGAATAATTTTATCATGACCTAAAAGATTGAGATCCACCAAATGTAGTGAGACTAAAATTAGTTTAGTCTCTCTTTCAGTTAGG